CTTTACCCATTGATGCAGAAACATTATATGTATCCGTGTCCATACCACTCTGATCATTATTTGAAACAGTAACAGTATTGTTCAAATCATTATCTGAAATAGTGATATAACATGCAACAGGGGGATTTAGGCCTGAGCCCAAACCCCCCCGTCGAAGTCAGGAGGGTCGTAAAAAATGTACAAACTTACCAGAATTACAGGAAGAAACTAAAAGATTACAGTTATATAAACTAACTACAACAAGTATTTACAAACTAAAGCCTCAGCTGATCAATTATTACAGTAAAAACAAGAATAATTTTATTCCTTGCGAAAAATTCTCCCGCCTCGTACGAAGTTTCCCGCGCATTTTGTAAATATACACACATCAAAAGTGTCTAGGGATCAAGTACGTTTAAGAGTATTGCTGCAATTAGGGTTAATTATATTAACTTTTTTGTATCGCTATTGATACTTTTTAGTGAGTTTTAACATTTAAATAAGGAATATTGTTTAAAATTCGATAATAAGAAGAAAATCGATTGTCAATGTGGTTTTGTATAAAAATGAGTTATAGCGTTTTGACAAAATCATTACAATATCTGCATCGGAACCGAAACAATTTACATTATTATGGAGAGACGACATCATTTAACCCGAGAAGTGATGATGGGAGCCGTCGGAATGTTGGAAGCTGGTTCCAGGCAACGTGCTGTGGCTTTCACTCTTAACACTACACAGAGCGTCATAAGTCGCCTCTGGACGCGCTATCGCATGACGGGCAGCGTGGCCGAGCGACATGGAGGACGATCTCGCAACACGACTCGCAGACAGGACCGGTATATCCAAAATACTGCTCGACGGAATCGTACCATGACCGCCATGATGTTGGTTACGAGGCTCCACAGCTCCTCAGGCTTGCTAATAAGCGATCAAACAATCCGAAATCGTTTACGTGAAGTGGGTCTGCGATCCCGAAGGCCGCTCAGAGTTCCACCTATTGCACCCTGCAATCGCAGGACCCGTTTACAATGGGCTCGCGAACACAGAAACTGGGAGGAAGAAGACTGGCGCTATGTGTGCTTTTCGGATGAATCCCGCTTCGGTATGAGACCGGATACAAGACGTACTCGAGTTTGGAGAACATCTGGACGTCATGAACGTTTGAGATATTGTCAGGAAGTTCATCCATATGGTGGGGGAACAATAATGATATGGGCCGGTATTTGGATCGGCGGAAGAACCGATCTCATTTGGATCAGGGGTAACCTCAATGCTCAAGTTTACGCAGAGAGGATTGTTTCAGATGTTATCATCCCTTTGCGAGGCCAGTTGGGTGATTCATTTCAACTAATGCATGACAACGCACGTCCACACACGGCTAGAGTCGTAACACGCATTCTTGCCGAAGCTCGTATCGACGTTCTGCCGTGGCCTGCTCAATCGCCAGACCTCAATCCAATTGAGCACGCATGGGATATGCTTCAAAGAAGAGCTGTGCCGAGTATGCATACCGTACATACTCTACAACAATATTTTGACTTGTTACAAAACACATGGGCGGCCATTCCTCAAAGTGATTTTGATGAACTCATCTTAAGCATGTCAAATCGCTGTAATTGTGTGATTCGTGTTAGTGGTGGAAATACAGATTATTAATTTTCTTATCTTTACAATAAAAATGAGCAAAATCATCATTTTCGCCATTTTTTTGTCATTTAATTGACGCCGTTAATTTGAGTTTTTTCCCACAATTTGCAAAAACATCAATTTTAGTTTATTTTAATTAAATATAGGGGTAAGCGGTTAAATAAAACATAAGCATTAAAGTAAGAAGTCGTCCTGGAAGACTGGATTTGGTAAATATTGCTTAAATAATTTTTATTTCAAAAATATTCACTTGATCCCTAGACACTTTTGATGTGTGTAGTTCACCACACATCAATTATGGACTTTGGCGGGTTTTTTTTTTGTTCTTCCATAGATACTACAACTCGAACTAAAATGTTGTAAAAAGTAAACACGCATACAGCCATGATGGATTGTAAAAACTTACTAAATTCTTATAGAAATAAAAGAAATTCTAAATAATAAATATTTAAGTAGTATGTGGCTGAATTGCAATTAAATTCCTGTTTAGATAACATTTTAAGCGAATGTTTTAATTTTGAACTTAGTAACCTCCTTGCTTGAACTGGAACCTGATCAATGTAAGGAAGTACCTACGTCGTGCTACAAATTAAAAAAATATTCTTACCGACCATGGCTGTAGTGGGAAGAAAAAAGGCCCGAAGGTTTTAATTGCGGCATTACAATCAAGTTACCTACCATGCAATCATACTATTTACGAGAAAGTGTGATAAAATCTTTATAGAATGTGTTCATTTGCATTCTTGCCATATTTACAGAGGTCATTTTATATCTGGAACTGAAACCTGAATTCCAAAAATTCCTATTTTCATTTAATTGCGGTAAACAAATTTAACCCAAAGGTCATTTGCAGCTTGCACGGCACTTGCAAACTTTTCGAACAATGACCTTAAACGTGCAGAAAGGAACGCATTTTAGATCTATTTGGTGGTGGGATGCGGGTAGCGACGGCGGGGGAGTGTCGTATCGAGCGCGCGATTGGTAGATCAGTCGACCTTGCTTCCCGTACTGCGTCTACGTCACGCTGACATCCCACATGCATTCTATCCTAGTCTGTCACGAAATGCCACGTGGTTTGGTATGTATACAAGAGTCAGTAGTGCAAAAAAGAACCGCTACCAGGTTCATGAGAACCTGCGTGGTAATCAATCAAGTACAAGTGCGTGTCTATTCTTAAGGCATAATGAGAAACGTTTAGTTTACGCGGAGGATACGAGTGTCGAAGTTCCTGCTTTCAAAGTTGTGGAGTCTAATGTTGAAACGAAACTCACGTGCGAATCTCTGTATAGCTGGTGGTGGCTCCGGTATGGAGCCAGCCACCGGTATGAAGCTAGGTACTTAAGCAACCTAAAGTTGGTAAGTACTAAATCTAAGTTACAAAAAACTTTTTTCAGTCAACTTTTCTAATTAATGTAAATAAATAGTAAATCATAACATTAGCCGCTCACGCGATGCGCTTCTCCTACCGCAAAATGGCGGCTATTTGGTTTCGCAAATTAGAAAAGCATTCAGTTTAAATACTAGTTTTTATTAATAAAGATTATTAATCTGCATTGCTAAATAAATACCCTCCGTACTACCAACAAAAACATCTTAAACAAAATGCAGTAATACACCGCAAATCCTGCACTTAAAAAGCACTAATGAAATTTTTGGTGTACTTGGGTAAATATGATAATATTCCGCTTGAGTGGTTCTAACGTTTACCATGAAATTACTCCTTAAAGTATAGTTTATAAACATTTATATTCAGGGTAAACTTAAAAAACGCTACTTACGGTATGTTTTCAATAAATAAACACCGAAATCACCAGCCCAAACAATAACACACACGATTGTCGTGACGTATTTTTGAAGTTGTGTATTTTTTTAAATGACAGACCCAGGCATTAAAAACTTTATGGTTTGCTAGAGTAGTTACCGAAATAGCAATTAATAATAGTTCTTTTACCTGTTATAACTTTAATATCCGATAAATCGGTATAAAATCATCACCGGCACGTCTAGGTGTGGTATGCGTCTACGGCTGCATGTATCGTGTGAGCGGATAGTAGTACATAATCATAATTAAAAAAATAGGTAAATAAGCGATCGAGAAATTACGTATCGTAAACATTATCCATTTAATAATATTAACCAATAAATTGTTTTGATAACTCCAATTTGTTCAACTACGTAATTGCAGAAATCGTTGCAGTGTAATAAGGGGCAATTGCACTAGTGTGTTGTTATTTTAATTGATATCATAAATGTCTCTATTCATAATGACCTAATCCGTGACTTATATGTTCTTATTTAATATTAATATTATGTACATATGAATTTTTTTTACTAAACATTCAGAATATGTAAAGGAGTTATAATTCGCCTAGCACTTACATAGATATTCAACCAAACTCATATCACTTTTGTATTTAGTAAATAAGTATATTAAGTAAGTAAGTAACTTATTACAGTAGATTTTTCCTGTTACTTTATAATGTAGTAGTAGGGTTATAATCTGGTACACAAATAATCTCATATTTAACTTTTATCAATGTAATTTGATTATTATCTATTTTGTTGGACATATAGTTAACAAATAAATATATTGTATTTAAATACAATAATGATTGTAATATAAATAGAAGTTGCTTTTATTAATAAAACATTTACCATTTAATATTAACCAACAAATTGCTTTTACGACATCGATTTAGTATTTTACATAATTAGAGAAATCGTTGTAGAAAATACTATAATGACGCGGTAACAATTACACAGGCAAGTTGGTGTGTTAATTCGTATTAGTAATTTATGTGCTCTTAGTGACATATAAATAGGTGTTTTTTTTTTAATTAAGTGTTTTTTAAATTGTATAAATTTAAGTACAACTCAACATAGCCCTGCACTAGGTAAGTCCACTCAGGATTTACCTAGTGCGGGGTTAGCTAGCTAGCGCGAGTGCCATGGACACACATCACACACATCCACAAATCACAAGAGAAATAAATGTAGGCCATACAAATATTTCTTCTGGTCCGGGAATCCAACTCGGGGCCTCTGGGTGGCAGTTCGGCATGGTAACCGTTCGGCCATGAAGACGATTTTACTTTACCAATCAGCATCAATGTTTAATGTTTCGATAACACCAATTTGTTCAATTGCATAATTACAGAAATCTTAGTAGTGTAATACTTGCACTGGTGCGTTGTAGTTTTAATTGATGTCACTAATTTTTCTATTCATAAGGACCTAATGATCTTTTGCCTTACATGTTCTTATTAATTAATTAATTTGTATTAAATACAATACACAAGTGTATTTAGACATAAGGTGAACTGAATGACAATTCCTCGGGTATAGAATAATGCGGAACATGAAATAGTTTACTAAAATATCACAGAAACCACAGAATACGATATTTTGATAATCTGAAACAAAAATATCTATTACAGACTTTGCTTTTTATATCAACAGTTATATATGCAGTTTTAAAAAATATAGTTCCGAACCGATATGTAGGATTCGTAAGACATCTTAATTATTCCAAGGCAATGAAGTTGCACAGCCTTCTGTAAAAGAGCAATATTTTTAGATTGCAGTTTTTTATTTTTTATTTATTTTTTTATTTTTATGTAATTAACAAATCTTATTCCATATTGTTTTAGTTGACGTGATAAAACTTTTAAATTCGTATTCATGACTTGCAAAAAGAATTGAACAATAAAATAGTAGTATGCGACTCACAGACCACATAAATGCTAGTAATAGACTGGTTAGTGGGCGGTGTCCGCGTTACCTAGCTTATCACCAGACCAGAGACATCATATGAGTGTCAACAGCGCGTCAGTCGTCGTTCAAATGTGATACTTGATTATTTTGTGGAAAAAATAGAAATATGCCTAATTGTGCCACATGTTACGTAAGAAGCCAAAGTTTAAAAAATACTCCGGTAGTGATTTCATTTCATCGGTAAGTACCAATACTCTGTATTTTCTAATATTTTGAACAATACAATACTATAATTTCGAAACAAAACCATTTTCTTGCAACCCGGTAATAACAATATACATTGGTTGCTAGCCATCGCCGCCGTCAAAAGAACAATTCGAATGACGCTCAATGAATTGCTTGCACTAGTGTCGTATTACACTTGCTACTGGGTCCGCGTGTTGTAATTAAATTATCGATATGTAGAAACTCTGTATTTAGAAACCCGGTTTTGGTTTAGTTCAACATTTTTTTATTATAGCGGTAGGTACCAATGCGTAAACATAAATGTTTACAGGTATTTAAAAGCTAACAATTTTGATTACTGAAATGTTTGGTCCCAACACTCGCAATAGTTTTTTAAAATTTTAAATTTAAGTAAAAACGATTAATTAATAGAAAAAAAGGAAATACAGATAGAACAGGTATTGTGTCGAATTTTACAATACACGTAAGTTCGTGGAGTATCAAATGAAGACTTTATAAGAGTGGAGATTTTCTTTCCCTTATCTACATGATTCCTATCTCCCTACTTGCTTATTATACGTCACCTTCGTCCGCTTGAGTTCTTAGTTTTATCACAGGCATGATTTATATTTACAGTTTTTGTATTTATTTTTTTAGTTTCCCGCCGGATCCTTTTTAAAGGAGAAATGGGCTGAAGCAACAGGCAGCAAAAGCTGGGTACCTACTAAATATAGCACCATTTGCTATAGGCATTACGTGACATCACATTAAATGTATTCATATAAATATATCATATTTCAGGGAGAACAAAGATTTTTATGATGACTGTGTTTTAATATTTCAAACCTTCCAGTGATCGGATTGACTTGAAATCTAGTAGGTTATTGAAAGTACAACGACAGAATAATAAATCATTAATACTGTGATTGTAGCACGCATGCGTATATAATATCAATTAATATTTGCGTGTAGTAAAACCTTATATGTATTTGGTAACAAATGTGTGAGTGTAAAATCAGCTACGCTAGTTCTCGCAGAGATTGTTTTATATGCTGTTTCCATATACTCCGTGGTTAACCCTAATTATAGCAAGTATAAAGCAATGCCTAGTTCAATATTCTGCTAGTAATGAAACTTAATGTCGATATCAATTAAATGTCACATCCCTATCTGTAGATTGTCAACTTTTCGTTTTTGTTCCAAGAAGTTTATGTCCATAGGATTCTTAGCTTTTATGTGACTAGTAATAATAAAACCTTATTAGATCCAAATAAGTTTCAATTTTTTTACCAAAAGTTTTTTTATATTGTCTATTTTTGTTTGATAATTTATAACCAATCAAAATTATGTTATCTTAGTACTAATGTATATGTAATGGTGCTATATTTTCAAATGTGTGCGTGTGGCGACACCGGTTTTGATACATGTTGCTAAATGCCATTTCCATTCTTTTCTTTCTTCCGTGATGTGACGGTTACATAATGAAAGGCATTAAAATTGTGTTTTAATCATTGACTTACAATTATATGGACGTCGGGTCCGCGCTAAAAAGTGTCCGCACTTGTAAGGCGCTAAAATCGTATACAGAGCGCGACACTCCGCTTTAGTCTTCATTTGTTCTACGGACAGCGCGATACTGCGATGACATAACAATTTAAATTTCGAATAGGTTGACTTGGGACATTTTTTTCGTGGTTTTTGTATTAGACCCGTCGTCCATTTATTTGTAAGTCAATGGTTTTAATGCCTAATTATGTACAGTTACATACACTGCTTTATCTACACACATTTTATAAGCTCTCTGTGATGTGTTCCGGAACCGCACGTTACGACTGGCGAAATGGCGGCAAAAAAAAACTTTCTCATGCATGTCACACAACCGTACTTTTTATTTTTAATTCATAGACAAACTAGAATCGGCTCCAACTATCACATCGTTCGATATCAAGTAACGTGTGGATTGTTTGCTATTAACATTTCATTTCGAATAAAACTTAATCTCGACTGATATTAGAATTGAGGTCCAATCAAATTGTTTTGTTTTTCAGAAATGTTCGAAATTTGAATGTAATAATACATCGAATTCGATGTTAATATGATGCAATAATAACATTTTCACAGATAAGAAATTTGTTCTAACAAAACAGTTTACCTTTATGCTGGTCATAAATTGCAGTTTTTGAACACCTTATAGAGAGTTTATGATATGTGTGTAGATAAATAAATTTTTCTACTCCTTTAAAGTATTTTAATCTGTCAATTATAATTTCAAACACCTTATAGGTCTTTTTTGTAGTTGTGAATCAAAATTCTATTGGCTATGGTACTCGCCACTGAGCTGAAAAATTTCATTAAAGTTCTTTAACTTTTTTTTAAGTATAATGAGTTAAAAAAAGGTCGCATTTTTGCTAATTAAAATATCAATTAGGACGCTACTCAAACGCTATACTGCTTCCCGATTGGTTAAGTTGGCCTAAAAATATTGCAATCGAGCCATAAATCTTCATTAAAAAAATTATTGGTTGAAATTTAAGCGGTACTTGGCCAGATACACATCTGTCTATCTCTTTGGTTTTTTGTTTTGTATGATGGATGGAAGATACTGTATGGTGGAATCCTTGCTTATTTAAATACAATAAATAGGTGAAAATTTGTTTTAAAAAAATGCGTTTGTTGTCATGGATTGTGAACAAAATATACACTAAATATTGGTTAGGATTCATTATTTTATATACTCGTAGAAAAAGTATTGTATGCAATCATTACATAATTAGGTCTTAAAATCTCGTACCTTTGACTTAGGCTACCAGACAGTACTCGACTTGACGAACTCTCGTTATGCAATGATTGCATAAAATACTATTATAAGTCTGCCATCGAAAGAGCGAGTTGGACCTGTAGAATGAAATGTAAAAAAAGAAAAAAAAAATAGATGTTTCGGGCAGTAAATTCGTATAGACAAAATGACTGATACTATCTTTGAAATGAATGAGATTGCGGTTTGCTAATTAAAAATAGAATTCGACCGGTTGCAGGAGTTTAGTACCGTGCGGTCCGTGTGTCGACATGACATTACTAGTATCCTGAAACACGCTATCAAAATGTTCACATAAGATGTATATAAGGCATTCGAATTTTGTACTATTTGAGTTTCGACTGGAGTATCAATAAACAGTGATTACAAGTAAAGTGGTGTCTTTCCTTTGTAATGTCCAATACAAAGTGGTCCCTCGACCCGGATGATCATGTAAAGAGAATTTTCGGGGCATTATACGAGTGCAAACTGTCTAAGACGATGCATGCTGATGATGCATGAGACATTTAACTTTGGAAAAAGGGAATGGAAATTTCAGCTATGAACTTATATTTTTTTCGGATGCAATAGACGAATTTGAGAAATAATTGGATCTTATAAAATTTCAGAAAAGCGAACTTGGACTTTACTTACATGGAGAAACTGATCGCAAAGCAGAAATGGGAGTTAACTTTAAAAAGGCACCTGGAACTCGAGTGACAAAAGTATACATACAAACCAGACTCGAGACAATCACAATATTGGGATTAGTTCAGATTGTATACTCACAACTCACTAGATTGGCTTCTGCAAGTCATCGCATATTTTGTTGAGGATCATTTTGAAAAGGAGAAGACTTCAACACACAAACATATATGTAGGATAACTTAGAGGAACTGAGATGAGAGAAATTCAGAAGCAAAGGGGAGAAAGTCCATACACAAGAAGTCAAGTTACTATAGATAAATATATCACAATTTAATGGAAGCTTCAGCGATTGGAGCACATTTAGGGATTTGTTTAAGTCAATAATACACGAAAATAAGAGTTTAAGCAGCGTACAAAAATTGAATTATCTAAAGAATAGTGTGAGTGGAGAAGTAGAACAACTTTTAAAGCATGCATACGTTAATGAGCGCAACTACGAGATAGCTCGGCGTACCCTTACCAGAAGATACAGTACTGGAAGAGTAATCGTGAACAAATTGTACAATCAGAAATAGTTGAGTATAGGCTCAGCTAGAGGTATCAAGGATCTAATGGATATCACTAACGAGTGTATAAATAATTTGAGAAGCTACAATGTATCCGTGCAGAACTTGGGTTCTTTAGTAATTTACATGCTGGTTAACAAGTTAGACGTGGAGTCGCATAAGGGTTACAAGAAAAAGCTTTGTTTTTGCGAGTGCAGAGCTTACCTTCACTAGTAACCTTTACCAAATTTTTGAAAACGAGATTTCGAGTACTAGAGATGATCCAAGCTGCTTCAACCTCGAGAACTGGGAGAAAGAGTTATGAATCAACCAAAATCATTTAATCGAGTACAACGTGTTCAGCAATCAATGTTATGCGTTAACTGCTTGTCCCCAAGACATAGTGCGAGATTTTGCGGAAATAGAGGCACTTGCAAATACTGTCACAGAAGACGTCACGGCATTTTCGAGAGAGATCTCCAGGCAATTCTCCAACGGGTATCGAGACTGAGAGGAGAGTTGAGACTGGAAGCAGAGCCGAACCAATGAGGTCATATTTCGTCACTCAAGGTCAAATTCCTTGATGACAACAGCTTGAGTTCACATTGAGGCAAATACAAAAAACAAGTCGAGACAGGGAGTGAAAGAACGGTATGTTAACCTATCCACGCAGTCGTACCAGAACACAACGAAATTGCGAAAAAGGACGAAAGACAGGTTGAGAGATTTGAGTTCGAGATTTATACATGGACGACTGCTTAACTGGAGGTCACGAGGAGACAGCCATTGAATATAGAGAGAGTTGACAGGACGTCAAAGAGAGGAAGATTTGAGCTTCAGAAATGGTTCTCCAACAGTGACAATTGAGTTAGTTGCTTAAGTAGACTGCTGAATTCTGTTTGATTTTACATCATTTGTGATACCGAACGTGTAAGGTGTTTTTGTAAGGTCAAACGGCGAATTTGCAAATACAGCTTGCAATAGTAACAAGAAATTAGTGAATGACAACTGTTAATCTTTTTGAAAAGTCGAAGTAAAAAAATATGCTACCAGTGGACACGGATTGAAACAATTTTTTGATGAAAAAATTAATAAAATACATGATTATTTTGATTTTATGAATTACCTGACTATGCCACATGGCAATGACCACCAAGGGTCTAATGCGACGTGACGCCTGTGCTCTGCAGTTATGCCAGCCGGAGTGAAACATCGCCGTTGGTAACTTGGACGCCTGTACAGAGAAACACATTATGTAAAAGAACTGTGTTACATACGGCACTGTAAATTGATGTAAAGTTTATAAGATCATAAAATTGTGAATCGTTAAAATATTGCATGTTTTATTGCAGTGTATAGAGCAAAACTTGAACTTTCCCAACTTGACTTCTTTCACATGTCGCGTCGTCTTTTGATAAAACTACATCCACAAACTGCGTTCGGTATGTAGAAGCATTACAAACTTGACAGTACTCGCCTCGACAGTAATGTCTCCGGCGTTCCACATTAAGCATCCAGTGCCTACCAACAATGAGGTGAACGTGATTAAGTTCGCCAACGTGCTTGTTACTGTTCGCTCGGACATCTGAAATATCATTGTCCTCGTTGTTGTTCCTGATTTCCAATTCAAAATCTGAGTGTTTTACAGTATGTAACAAAATTGCGATATAATATATACATATTCTTAAACTTTGTGTCGCGCGTGTCATGGACACACACATAGACAACCACAAATTACAGTCAAGCTCACGAAAGAAATAAATGTAGGGCATTCAAATATTTCTCCTGGCCCGGGAATCGAACCTGGGACCTCTGCGTGGCAGTCCGGCATGATAACCGTTCGGCCACAGAGGCAGTTAAATATAATTTTGCCCGAAAGAAAAAGAATATTAACTGTTGCGTCATAAGTATGAACGGTGGAGACAGTGATGCCGGCGGCGTGATCAAGTCGTCTGTTTGCATGTACTGTTCTCGACCGGTTCCCTACTTGAGATAGAATACCGTTTGACCGAATATTAATAGCTCGAAATCGTGAGTACCCAAATATTGAAATTTACATTTCAAATATTCTGGTGCACATTTATCATTAATGATAGAGTAAGGAGTGAAAAGTATTCTCAAATCACGACCCTGGCGAATCGTAAGCCACTTCAGCTCGTTGCGACAAGCGGACACGTGATCAAATTTTCGAAGTCCATAAATAGAGAGAATGCAACTTTTTAACAAACGATCCAATGTGATATCAGCATAACACACAACAGCATAATCAAGGATAGGAAAAATAATGGCCTGTACTAAGAGAATTTTTGTTGAGGTGGGAAGAAAGCATTTGAATTGGTAGAATGATCTTAAGGTACCAATGATCTTCTGACTAATGCAGTCAATCTGAGGTTTCCAGCTTAAAGTACTATCAATGTGCAGTCCCAGATTCACAACATGAGATGCGAATACAATAGGTGTATCATTATAAGAAAGAAGCGCGACAGAGCTCATGTGCAACCTAGTCAAAGCATGAGAACTACCCATGACAATACCTTGGCACTTATTTGGCATCAGTCCAAATTTACTCAACCAATCAGCGATACGCCGCAGATCTTCATTAAGCTCTAGTATCGCATCAGCCAGGCAGTTAATCTCGGCCTGTGCATATATTTGCAGATCATCTGCATACAGATGGTGAGAATTGTGGAGGATAGGAGAAATTAAATTGATGAAAACGGAGAACAACAGAGGGGAAAGAATGCCACCTTGGGGGACACCTTTGCCTCAAGGTCTGACCAAAGAGACAAAGAGTCTTTAGCACGAACCGCTTGCTTGCGCCCTGGAAGATATGAAGAAAACCAGTCCAGTTCCGGAGGAGAGATTCGCAGATACGTAAGGATAGCAAGAAGGTCATCATGGTCAACAGCATTGAATGCGTTAGAAAAATCAATGAGCACTAATACCGTTAACCGTGAATCCTCCATGCCTTTCCGAATGTCCTCTGTAACTTTTAGTAATGCTGTCGTGGTACTATGACCAGGCCGAAAACCAGACTGGTACTGGTCGAGGATATTATAAGACTCATTGGTCGACTAATGTCATCACATCCAACAGCTTTAGACTTTAAAGACATTATTGTTTTGTGAATATCGGACCGATACCAAAGAAAAGATAAAACGTGCAGATGGTTGGCGGTACAAGGAAGGAACGTCTTTGGGAGCATCCGCTTTGTCTGCCCATTCAGTGCTGACACTGGCAGAGAAATGCCGATCGACATCGTCCAAATTTACTGGGCTTGAGTAACTTACCACAAGCTGTACAACGAGGAGAATAATAAGTGATATATTAAGTAAAATTTGTCCGCTGTATACAAAATAGAACGCATCTTGACAGAGTCTGGTACATCTGGAACGATTTCAATTTGTGAATTAAATGAATGATTACTGATTAAAATAAATAAATAAATAACGCCCACACTCAACATAGCCTCGCACTAGGGAAACCCTGTGTCACGGGTGCCATGGACACACACATAGACTACCACAAATTACACCCAAACTCACGAGAGAAATAATTGTAGGCCATACAACTATTTCTCCCGGCCCGGGAATCGAACCTGGGACCTCTGCGTGGCAGTCCGGCATGGTGACCGTTCGGCTACGGAGGCAGTTAAAGTAAAGTTTCAAACAATGTAATATTGGAAGGAACCGTATGTACAGTTATATTAATAATTATCACAATTAATACCGTCACTTCACTTAGGGTCCTCACTGAAAATTAGTACTGGGAACGCGTTGCGTTTTGTAGCAAATACCGAATCAGTTACCCTTTCATTACCGCGGCTGGCACCACTCTATGTATTTTTACACGTAGTGTTCTTGTTTCGTGAATAATCATTTGTGGTAAACAAATAAATGTATTTTCGTTCTTTCTAGAAATCTGTTCGGTGTGCGTGTAGTTGTCTCTCAGAATGACTATTCTCTGATGCATCTCAGGCTCTCCGGTTTTTTTTATTCAGAACATCTATATCTTCAGTGACCAAGACTTAATAATTATTGAACTGTAGTTTAAGTGCTGAGTAATTTTGATTTTGACTTGCTTGTCATTAGAACTGTTTCTTTTGGCAATCAAAGATATACAAAGTCTCTAGCTGGCGGCAAAAACTTTCAAGGAGAAGTCATACGTCAGTGGCATTTATTACCTTAATGTATCAGAATGCCATTTTATTCCCAATTTAAAAGCCTCTTCATATTTCCTCTCCTTCTCGGCCTGACTTTCGTCCCCATGGAATATTTCTGACAAACTGTAAAAGTAACTTGTCAAGTTCTTGAACTGATGGCTTAGCAAAATTGTCACTGGAATTATTACCGAGAAAACGCAAATCAATCTGAAAGGTTAAAGAGTAGCTTAGCATTACACTATTTAGTGATTAATCACCTCGAACAGTGAAAAACCTACAAAACGTTATACAAGGTTTCGAAGATCAAATATATGTCGTGTTCTTTTTTTTCTATTATAATACATTCTTTGGCTTTATTTATATCATATCTTGCAAGTACACTGTTGTTTATTTCGAGTAAACACTAGCCGTCTTTTTATTATAATTGGCAATCATCATCGAGTATGCAATCATTAACAATTTTCCAAATACTTGTTCCCTGCTCATAGTCAATCAAACATTTAGCGATATCTTTCCGAAGATTGGTTTAAATTGCTGTGTTAATCAATTTTCTTAATTTTCTCTTTTAATTTATTTTTATTTATTACAAGGTTGATCTTAATACATTTCACAAAACCTCGATAAAACATATATGGTTAATAGTTTATTCGAAAATGAAAACTGAAACAAACAAACCTGACAACGAAATACCACCAAATAATATAGATGACAATCCTAACGAGACCTGCACCGAAGCTCCGATCTTCGACGTCCGGCCACGCAGTTATTACTGTCGTGAATGTGCCGTCTGCAACAGGGTCAAGAATTTTCTAATGCTTTAGTAGCGCCATACTTGGTACGAAAGAGAAACACTCGTTTTTGGATGTGAGTTTTATATATTTTAGAATTGGATTGGATTGGATTATAATATCCTTTCCTTGGGAGGGTTGAGATGTAAATATATCTGATAGAGCACATGGCGAAGATTTTCAGAAGTGGCACTTCATAAAGTTTTAAGAAATTTAAATATTAAAGAAAACATACCACGCAATAGAGCATCGACTCCGAAACTCAGTACTGTGGAGCATGCTATAATCACAAATGCTATCGTGGAAATCTTTGACCGCCTGATCATCTGTTTTTCCACCTCGTGGTCGTTGAATGATTTCTTCAGGTTGATTGTCAGATGTAGTAATACTTCACTATAGGAATAAATATTTGTAATAAAAGAATGATAGGTACATTTAGTAATATAATTTGGCAATGACGCTATTAAACGCGGAAGCGTAGATTCACATAAGATCTTTGATTCTCACACACGACTCAGGTTTTTTATAAGCATATACTATACGGTGCTCGCACACATCAGATTTTTAGTGGGTACGCCGTTTATTGGACGCAAATACGATCGATTTTCAATATTATATTATACAGGAGTTTCGTTAAAGTAAAAAGTTACACATTAGGACGTCAAGTCTCAATCGCACCAAAAACTTTTTTAGAATTTGTTTTGGCGTACGAGACATGCGCTTAGACGCTTACCTTATTTTGTCTTTATGAAACTTCATAAAGAAGCTGTACAAGTGCAGAATTGGGTGGGAACATGCAAAAAGTAACAAGTCGCCACTTTGTTTATAAGTTAAATTCTTCTGAGTGAATAGCGCAAGCCACTCTGAGCCGATGAACAGAGTTGTTATGAAATCTGCTATTGAAAATAAATTGTCATGAATTTTGTAAAGTAACTTGGGAAGTTTCAAGTCTTCTGACCAATAATTCGATGCACCTAGGAGATATACTATTTGTGCGATATAGAAAAAGAATTCTTTTGTTTTATTTTTCTCCATTTTTTTCCAAATTCTGTGTAAGACAAGCGAGGGACAGAAGGGTTGATGAAGAAGAATTACTGAATGACGAAATCTATTATACATATTATTTGCTATAGTATGCGATAAATTCAATAATTACTGTGTAATTTGTTCGTAATTAACGTGAATAAATTATTTGTGAATCTGTTATTGATCCGTGGTAGTCTGTTATATAATGTTTGTTTTATAAATTTGTAAATTGATTTTAGTTGTTTTAACTATGCAGCAAAATATTGCCAGTATGTCTTTCCATTCGAGGTAGTTTACAAATTTGCAATCTTCTAAAACATTTGTGAAGTTCCCAATTCTCATTACAGTGGCTTCCCACGGCATGTGATTACATGAGTCGCGCCGCATTCCTGTGAAGACAGGATTTCAATAAATAAACACAGTGTGACGTCTGCGCTACTAAGTACAGGGAGACTACTATGAGCTTATAAGTAACCAGCCAACTTCCATGCAATTTGACGTGGTAAAACTGAATTGCTTATATTCGTATCTTGACGTACACGAAGTTGAAGACAAGGCAAGATGATGAGTTTTAATTTTTAAACATTAATTATTACCTCTGGCTGGCTAGTTGACATCTAACAAGAGCGAGATGGAACTACATACTAAATCATATGAAAGAAATAGACAGATGTAGTACACAGGAGCGTTGAAGCACTATTAACCGATTGTGTTCAAAATGAGAATAATTATATATTTTTAATAATTTTATTATTGATTATACTTGTTACGTTATATTGCATACTTTATAATTTGTCATAAGACAAAATTACATGTCATATGATTCGTTCTGGACCTTTTAGAGGGAAAAGTGTCGTTTTTATTTTGAATTTCAATTATTTTGTGAAATCTAGCCTATCCTCTTTGTGGCGGCCATATTTACAGAAACATATTTAAACTTCATGTTTAGGTTGATGGCTTTGCTAAAGTCTTAATAAAAAACAAATACATGTCATATGTACATAGTTATTATCATTGAAATGAATAAGGGATTCGCTCTGGACCTTTTGGAGGGAAAAGTGTCGTTTTTATTTTGACTTTCAATTATTTTGTGAAATCTAGTTTAAAGTGGAATAGGATGGTGCTATTGTGCCTTAATCGAAGATTAAAACGCGAAATTATACGAATCTCGAACTAAAATACCCGTATCGGCCCGTTTTAAGGAATCCCGAGTCAATCTAAGCACGCCGCCGCCTCAAATTGCCTATCCTCTTTGTGGCGGCCATATTTACAGAAACATAATTAAACTTCATGTTTAGGCTGATGGCTTTGCCAAAGCCTCAATAAATTAAAAAAAAAAAAAAAAAAATGAATAAGGTGAGTTTTAATTTGATAACATAATCTTGTATTCGTACATTTTCATTGATTAATGCGTTAAAGTCAAAATTAGCACTATTTAAAAGTTATTTTACGATTTTCACTAAGTCAATAAAAATATTAAAATGATAAAAATACAATTTAAAAATTGCAATTACATTCATGCTAATAATTTATCAACAATACTCTGTAGATGGGAAAATCAAACTAAACTATTCAAAAAAATTCAATAGTATATTTCTAGTATTTACTTCAAAGTCAAAGTCAAAGATAATTTATTCCTTATGTAAAATAAATTCACACGTGAAAACGTCACACTTAAGCTACTGCTCGTTCACTACACTGACTTCCCTGAGAAGAACGAGCAAGAAACTCTAGGGATTGCTCTTTTGAAATAAACTCAGGGTCATATTCCAGAACTCTACTCAATGCTCTAGTGGAGACTTGAGTATGATTTCAAGCACTGGAAATACGACCCTGATAGCAAGGACTTGAGTATGATTTCTAGTGCTTTAAATCATACTTAAGTTCTGACTTGAGCATTGAGTAGAGTTGTGGAATACGACCCTTAAATGCTATGGAATACGCTTTTATTAAAATTTGTGTGCATTCTGGAGCCGTGTCGTCTTTCCATACATCTTTATATAACACGTTGTCTTCAATTTTGTAATATGACTTTTCAATCAAAATATTTTTAATGTAGTTTTTAAGCTTAGGAAATGATGATCTTAATATATGCTCCGGAATCTTATTGTAAAAACGTATACAGTTCCCCATAAAAGAGTCGTTAACCTTGGTTAAACGAAATCGTGGTACCTAGAGTTTGGACTAAGGTTAATATTATGGATATCTTCTTTCTTATTGAAATTATGTATATTTTTACGGGCATATGAAATATTTGAGTAAATGTTCTGTGATGCCACAGTCATGATACCAGTCTCCTTAAACTTTTCTCTGAGAGATACCCGAGAGCCTAGACGGTACACAAAACAAATAGCTCGTTTTTGCAATACAAATATGGTTACAATATCTGCCGCTTTACCCCACATGAGAATCCCGTAGGACATTATACTATGGAGTAACTAAAGTAAACTAGTCTAGCAGTACTAACATCGGTAAGCTCACGTATTCTGCGGACTTCGTATGCGACGGAGCTTAATCTACTGGCCAGGGAAGATATATATGGAAACCATTGAAGTTTACTATCTGAGGTTACTCCCGAAAAGACTGCTTTATTGACAAGGTCTAACTTTTCTCCGTTTATTTCTATGCTCGGACTAGTCGATTTTACGTTAGGTTGAAAGCGTGTACCGCTGATGCTGGTACCGCTTGGAATGTTCAGTAGAATTGTAATGTGGCCAGGAGAGTAGTAGTAGCCTCCGCTACCTCCATACATCTTGCTTAGTACGCATAAAGTTCAAAATTCAAAATGATAAAGAACTAGTGGTAATAAATCCAGTTTTATGAATATTTATTCCGGTTTTAACAATTTTTATGACCTTTAAAATGTTTATTAAGAAGATATGTAAGAGATTTTTGGTAACTGGTAAACGGCTCAAAAAAATAAGAAGAGAAGAGTTCGTTGCCGCGATCGGACAGGGAGTGACAATGGAACGAACAAAATCAGAATGCCAGGCAAAAGAAACATTAAACAATTCAAAATTTAAATTTAAATATGAGTGGCCAGGAACCGGAGAAAGGCGATAAAAAGGTGGGATGACGATGCTAGGAGGTCACACCCTCGCAAGGTAATTCAAGTTTATCATATTTTATCTTCTTGGCATCAAGCAATAAATTGTTAGCATTAAACCAATAAACTACCTTAGAGAGGGTATCATTAATATGGTCATAGTTAATATCATGTCTGTCTGTTTTAAAAATCAAGGATGTGTCGTCCGCAAACAATACTATTTCGCAATAATCCTTAACAAAGAATGACAGATCATTAATATAAATCAGAAATAAGAAAGGTCCAAGTGTTGAGCCCTGCGGAACTGCCATTTTTACCGGAGAACGCAAAGAAGTCACTCCATTTATGTCTACTTTCTGAATTCTACCGTTGAGATATGACGAAACAAGTTCCGACACCTTCCCATTTATTGACAATTTCCTATATAGCCTAAAAACATAACAAATAATAATGAAACTGAAAATATAATAGAACTTACACGAAATTTCTTAAAAATGTAACAAAATATAAAAAAACTTAGTCACGGACTAAATTTCTTTGAATTACTTATGTTGACATTTGAGACCGTCATCATGATGGCCAATGACACGTCATGATATGATTTTACTATGTAAGGGGAATCTTCTAAGTAGACAGAAATGAGATTCCAGTGACTGTTACAAATTATATTATAGATCTAAATATATATTATAGATCTTTCACTATAATTCCCAACAAAACAAAACACGTCTGTTCTAGTCAAAGATGCTTTTCGTAATGGCGGCCGCCTGTCAGCGCTCCGTTGACATCGATGATGATGACATAGATTTATTTCTTATTTCGATGAAACTAATTCTTAATGACGCAAAGTAAGTTTTCTAACAGAATAAAATAAAATAATGTCACGATACGCTAACATATGAAAGAAAAGGTGAACGGATTTCGGATGGGGAACGTAAACTGCATGGACAATGAATTGTTTTTGTGAGGTCATCAGTTAACTCAATAAAACAACGTTTTTATACTTCACGTACGCATACGATACGTCCGCTCACACCACTGTTTAGTGTTATAATGGGGCGAACGGCGGGTAGCAGCGTAACTTACATTGTCTACTGTCTATGGTACATTTTGGCTATACACCATATCTCTCCCTATCAGTAAAATTAATAAAAAATGTTAATATATATGTTTTACTTTACTTTTATAATTATTACTATATAACTACTACAATATAACTATTACTATATAACTATCACAATCTACTAAACATAACCTAAGTTATTTTACATTGTTATCACCTTGACCTGCCTCTTCATTATGAATTTGCCATTGCTTCTCTATTTTCTTTTCTCCTTCTTAATTCTTGACCTGTCTCGTCATTTTTCACACGTATATCTCTTCTTTTGTATGTATAGTTGTGTATGGGGTGCTATTGCACATCATAAGATAACATAGAAGATTGTCCCTCCAGCGGACTTTTGGTATATCGACCTCACCGCTCTGTTGTGGCCAGTATGGCATTGAATTGTAAGTCTAATGCCAAATTCCGAGTAGAAGGATTTAAATTCATAGTTCGATGTAATGGTGACATACTGACTGGGTACCAAGTTTGGGAAAACTATAGAACGTTTACGGTTTCCTTGAATATAATGGATTTCGTAATTTTGATTTCTTTATGTTGCTGTAACAGTCAATTATGAGAAAT